AAGCCTTCAGTGCCAGCACCAGCCATACATGTGTGGTGTCGTTACTACTCTTAAGAGCGGCTGAGTAAAAACATTCGTCAACCCACGTGGCTTTATCATGGCCATTTAAAACCATTAGAGAAACTTATATTCAGCAGTGGACGCCAAAAATAAAAAAGTTGAGAAAGTGAATTATTTACTTATTCAAAAACAAAGTAGAGGTATCATATCCGAAAAGGTTTGAAAAATACCACATGCACAAAGAGAATTTAAATAGGTAAATAATAATTTAATATTTAGAATATTCCACACTTTATTGCATTAACGGTAAAACAATAATGTTAATTGACTATTCAAACCGTAACAATAGTCTTTACCGGTACTCTATTTTTTAGTACCATTTCGTGGACCGTCTTTTCAAGTTATAATTTATTGTTCTAATCGAATTAACTTAGTATTCAAAATATTTTGCCGATTTTATATTTATTAATGTACCCTGAGGTAGTTTTCAAATAACACATCATAGTCAACACAAATTTTGGTATTACGGTTTATACTTCTGCATTTCACCTTGTCTTCTTATTAGACTTACCTATTTAGTCAACAACTTTAAGAGAGAACAAATCAAAACGTATCAGAATGAATATATTGAATTGCTCTATTAACTTTCACAAAAAAAACCAAAACAATAATGTCCGAGCACGGGAACAGAGTTTAGTCATCTAAGAATTGTTTTTATAATATTTTGCCGCTTAGCTGTTATTAGGATCGCTTAATGGTGTGGGACTCTCTCAATTGATAGCTACGTCACATATAACTAGATGGTTCCGTTTGATAAGAATTAGATTTACTTTTCTCAACAGATTCTCTCACTGGTGTATTTTTAGCTTTTCTTATATTATACAACCTGCTACTCGGCTATTTGAAGTTCTCTTCAAGTAGGTTAGAGAATTGCCTTTAGTTAAGAAAACATGGTACTATTCTCTCTCTCTCTCTCCGTAGCATTACAACCCGGGTGGGTTTTTGTTGACTTTGCAATTTGCCTCCTTTGCTGTGGTCCAGCATTAGTTCCTCTGGTCGTTCGATATTTAGAGTCTGTAGATTTACTGCAATAATATCCCTTCCCTCTGGGAACTCTTCTCATACCAACTTATCCATCTCAATCTTTCTGACTTTATTACTTTTACTATATTTAGTTTTATATTGTTATTCTATACTGCTGTATGATATTGTCCTTGACTGATCCGTACGTCCCTCTAACAATTCTTCTTTCCGTGATTTTTAACTCGCAAATTGTATTGGCTTCTTGAGAATTTTCTGGTTGGTCTTCACTTTCCGTCGACACATCACATTAGTATTTATTCCAAGTTTGGTTATTATTCTGGTAGGATTGAATAGTCGTAATTCCAGTCTCATTCGTATTGTAACTATATTCTGGCTCGAAATAACGACGATGCAAGTTTCTCGAAAACTGGCTTCAATATTTATTCGATAGAAACTTTTAATTTTGGGCAAACTAGCTACTTATGCTGTTTTTACTACGACATTCCTTATCTTATTATAGAAACTACTTCTCCTCAACCAGTTAATTTTTATCAAAAATATTTGACAAAGGTATGAGGTGTTTGTTTTTAAGCCAGAGTATAGGTACATACTCTATGGGAGACTCTAACATTACGTTGTCAAACGTTGTAGATGTGTCCACCTTTAGAATAAAGACATTAAAGTATGTAGTGGACTGGATTAACAAAGTGGAAGGTCGAGACAGCCGTGAAAATTTCAGGGTTGTGATAGCACAAGACATGAATAAGATTGGAGATGTGTCCTGGCTATTATTTAACCAAGTCATATGTATAACGAATATAGGTTGAAGTGGTTGAATACAGGTGGAAATAGCTAAGGTTGATATACCGCTCAAAGAGCGCAGTAATCTGCGTTACTAATCGAGTTATGTGTTATAGGTGTCGGAAATTATCATAAACAAATTATTGCGATCTGGGCTAAAGAGGCTACTTAGGTTTCGGGTATTTTTCTGGATGCAGCATTATGTTTGATGATATTCTACAGCTGAGAGGAGGACGGCGTCAACCGTATGCGGATAATTTGTTGACGTTGGTTGAAACTTGTAAAGGTTAACCGTTTGATTTCCAAGGGGTATTGAAACTCTGCTAAAGAATCCTAAACAGCACCACTGCACTTTCTCGAAGTCAGCACGGAAAGACCCAATCGGCGCTATAGCGTTTTTCGGAGTTAAGGTGATCGGAGTTATTATTCCATAAGTGTGTTTCATTGCTAATAATTGTGTGATAAATCCCAAAAAGGTAGGAATTGAAAATGAAATCCTATGAGCATAATCATAAATCCATGTGATTTTGCTGTTGTCAACGATGACCACTTAACGACGAAAGACACCGCATTTTGAGTACTTCAGATAGTGCTACTAATTTGTAGCATCAATGTCCACTCAATCATTTACGAGTTGCGGAAGTCGAGAATAAACCCAGTAAATACTTTGAACTATTCTTTGATTCAACGCTATGGTTACTAATTGTTAAGAAATCTAAAAAATATGCACAATATATAAGGCATTTATCTGGAGAATTTGATTCATTTAGAAGAAAGAAAATGAATACCAGTTACTATGCTTACTATGTGTTGATACCATTATTTATTTGGGGTTGGCAACCAATTTTTTATTTTATGTTGGCAGCATGTTGTAAAAAAATGTGTATGGTTGACAGTTAAAAAGAGATAAAAACGTAAAACAGTTTATTGTTCGTGTTTATATAACAAATACACAAGTAAAAGGCAAATTCAAATACACTGTGTTTAATTATCAACTGTCCACCGATTTTGACACTTTTGAACTTGTTTCTGAGGAATGTTGCAACATGGTATCCGAAATGTTAAATATTTTTCCGAAAGATACACAAAAGTTTCCAATTCTAGGTCTAGTGTTATAGAGTTCAATTAATACCAGCCGTAAAAGGCTTCGTACTTATCTCAATCTCATCGAAATCTATTTTATGGTATACTTTCTTGCGGCAATGTTCTGTGACTGCTAACTGCTCTATTTTTCCTAATCTGATGTCTCTTTCGTGTGCCTTTATGCAACATACGAAATTCCGTTCAGTTTGCTCCACAAAGCATGGACTAGCATATTAGTTCCTTATTATCTGATGAAATCGAGAACGGAAGACCTTGAACACATTTTTTTCGAATGTGGGACATTCCAAAAAAATTAATCAGGAGATTCAATTTTACCTCTGCGAGGTTGGATAGGGTTGAAATCAAGATGTGTTTAGACTTCTCAAGATATAATTTGACTGGGGTTTTGCTCAACAAACAGCACATAAGTGCTTCTACAAAATGAAACTTGTGAAAGCAATTCTTTTTGCAAATAGTTTAAGTATTTATTACTACTACAATTTTATTGATAGTCGACTTTTCGAAATATGCTCATTGCGATGGTGACGCAATATTTATAGAATGTGCGGGACTTAACGGGATCTTTGGATTCAATCATTCGATACCTATGATAACTGTTAGATTATCATCGATAATGATAATAACTGAATCTACTGTGGCGTCTCTATTCGTCTCAATAGCCTTGTGAAAGTCGATAGGAACACCTTGCCAGCACTCCTTATCATGTTTTTTAAAGATCGCAATTTTCCTCTTCGACATTGTATTGTTCTATTGATGAAAAAATCGAAACATCTATTTAAACTTTATAAAAACATGATTAGACATTGAGCAGAAGACAAGTTTTCGCTTCATATTTAGCTCTCCGATTTAAGTTAGACACTGAGCGGAAAATCAATAAATTGTGCCCAGGGTGAGATTTCATTGTAGTGTTATTGTCAAAACAAGTGTTATTATGATTTTAACAGTGACGAGTAAAGCGACTTGGCAACCTTGACTATTATATTAAAAAAATATATACGTAACATGACAATAATTTCTTTTTCCTAAATATTAAGTCAACTCAAGTGTTTAAATTAGCTTTGTAACTTTATCACACTCAGTATAACATCTTATTACAACGCCTTATTTCTATAGAAGTGATTAAGAACTGAATACAGGAAAATTGAAACACTCTGTATAAAATATTTAATAGCAAACGTTCCTAAAATATATTTTTTGCTTTCAATACTTAATTATCTCAAAAAAAATATACAAACTTTCTTAAACATATTAAGATAAACCACTTAATATTCTTTGTAACGAGGTTACATACTGTTTTTAAATTTATAAACGACGTAGGTAGCGGTAAATTTTTAACAAGTAGTAGTACATTTTATACACTTGAAAGAGTAAAGTCGTATATGTGTGGTGTGTTCTCTTCGCCGCGTTCATGTGGTGATCATATAAAATTTTCGGTCAATTATCTCATTGAATAGGTGCTAGTGTATGTTATAATGGTTCGTTATAAAGATTATTCGTGTTGTTGTCGTTGTCCAACGCTGTTAAAAGTTAAAATGTTATCCAAAACATTCAGATTATACTTTATTTAGTAGTCGAAATGAGACTGATAAGAGTTAACCACAGGCGACGTGCCACTTTTAAAAATGGACAAAGGGATATTTTACCACAAATTAATAGGGGTGAGTTTAAATTATTAAAATAAATTAGAAAATATGAAAAATCGTAAATATTTTTTTATACTTTCCTTTCTATTATTATTTATTCATGTCAGTATTTGAATACAATTGATTTAATATAATGTTTCTAAATAAGTTTTCTTTCATATTTAGTTTAAAAGGTTATCAAACTTTAAGAATTGATGTTTTTAATTTGGATAAGATATTTAATATAAATTATTTTGCAAAAAAAGATAAAATTACATACAGATCCTTCGATACAATCTTATTTTTTGTTAAATAAAGTTTCTTATCTCAAGGTATTGATACATTCTCGGTAATGGTGAAATATTAGTAAAGAAGTTCTTATCAACTTCAAAACGTGTTTTGATATCACCCAACCACAAAAATAAAATAACTTCTAAATTATTATTTTAGCAAATTTGGTTACAACTGAAGGTATAGATCCAGCTATAAAACCACCGGTGCAATTAAATTGTATATCATCAAGATTAATAATAAGGATAATTTTCGTAACAATAGCATTAATAGCGATATCTTTAACATTAATTTTTACAACTGTTCCAAACCTATCGGATGAATCGGATGATGATGACAAGAACCCCGATGGGCTTAGCACACATAATATAACCGGACACGAATATTATACAAGGGCGCAATGGGGTGGAAGAGCACCTTTATGGATTAATGAAATTGAAGGTCAAGTTCGTTGGGTTATAATTTCACACACAGTAACATCGCAATGTAAAACATTCGGTGAATGTTCAAAATTAATGCGAGCAATGCAAGATATGCACGTAAACGATGGTAGTCCAAATATAGGTTACAATTTCGTAATTGGAGGTGATGCCAACGTTTATGAAGGTCGCGGATGGTTCGCACAAAACTTTCATATTTTTGATAAAAACAGTTTAGCAATATCTTTTATTGGAAATTACGTTTACGATGAAGTAACAAACAATATGATTGATGTATTCATTAAAATGCTTGATTTAGGTGTTGAATTGAAAGTTTTACATCCAAATTATCGATTGATAGCCCACAATCAAACGTTGGTAACACTCAGCCCCGGTGCTAACATTTACAAATTGCTCAAGAAGATGTCCAATTTTTACGTGGATTTGAGACCTCGTGATGCAATAATGCTTGATGGTAACAATTGATTTTTTTTTTGGTTTGTTGAGTTTGTGATATACATTTTAATTCCTATTTTTTTTTCAAAAGACATGTAAAATTTTTAGATTTATTATAAGATAATTAAAAATGTTTGTCGATAAATATATATTTTTTCTTTGATTATAATAAATTATTCTTTTTATTTCCTACATGTAAGTATATCCTTATTAAAACATTTGTTATACTAGAAATTAAAATTAAAACAATAATAGTAATAAATCTGAGATAAAGGATAACATTGTTATTAAAGATTACAATCTTATCATAAAAAAACATATTTGAACGATGTCTTAGAAAAAAATTGCTTACATTGAGTTTTATTGTGTTGAAAGCCGTAAAAAAATTCTTTTGTATTGGGTTCGTTTTTCTTACGGCTGTGACGTTATTTTTTAAGTAACATATATTTTTGTGGGATTTCTAGAAAGAAATAATTTTTGATTAATCATAACTTCTTGAAACCACCTTTTCTTTCTTATTACGTTAACTGTATTATTTAAAACACAATTTGTTTTACGAATAGAAAAATCGATTTAATTGAATCACTTAATAAAAAATTAATATGGAAAAGTTCTATAAATTAAAGTGTAAGCGAGATAGTTTTCCAGTACATATAATTTTTTTGCAATCGATACTAACATGTCACATTAATGTCTATAAAATATAATATGACCTAGAATGTACCAATTTCGTACCTATGCGAAGTTATCACCATATTTTCATTATAACAAGAGAACTTCTCAGCCGATTTCGATGAACAAAATCTCTTCCGAAAGCTTCATTCTTAGCCTATAAGGAAGTATGAAATCCGATTCGAAAGTTCTTTCGAAATCCGTTAAAACTGCAAAATATTGCGAAGGTACATAAAATTACACAAAATGAGGTCATTTTAAGGTGGTCATAACTCGTAAACGATGTACTCGATTAACATCTATTCGATTCGCAATATTTTCTTCTATCAAAGTCATAATAACACCGTGTTTAACTTGTTGTTTATACACGTATGAACACCCCAAAGTCTAGCCCCCAATAAGAAAAAAATAATTTAGGTTAAATTGGTTATAACTAAAGAACGATTTTAATATTTGAGGTACTGAAAGGTTGAATCTGACTGAAAATATGAAAATTTTGATTAAAACACGAATAACTAAATAATCAAACACATCAATTATATTCTTTATTAATTGACCAATTTTAGTCATCAAGATCTCGATCGAAAGAATGATTCACAATGAATGCGAAGGTGGAAATGCCAGATCTCAAAATTCGCTAATCAAGTACGTATGTGTAAAAGAGCAATATTATTAAGAATATAATTTACTACAACCTTTCTACTAAATGGACCAAAACAAAGTTTACGTATTTTTTTTATACGTGCGGCAAAAGCCCTTGAGCCGAGTTTTAGGGGTTGAAAGTTTGGGGAAAATGTACTTTTTTGTCTATATTTCGAAAACGAAAAGTGCTATAAAAATTTGATAAATTGAAACTGATGTTCATTTTTCATAAGCTTTCATTTTATGTATCATATATATACGACAGGGTGAAAAGCGGCGAACTATCCTTATTTTTTCGGGTTTATTTAAAAAAAACCTTATCGATTTTGATGGCGTTACATATATTTGTAGTGCATTCAAAAATATTAGTTAATTTTTTTTTTATTCGTCCTTGATCAACCCCAGCGAAGTTACGAAGGTTAACATTTAACCACTTTTCGTAAGAATGATGTCTTTTATCACATGTCAGGTATTTTGAAAATATTTTAAACAAAACCGTAAATTAGTCGCACAGTAAAATTTTTAGTGTCAAGTAAGGCATATACGACATTTTGGGGTAGTGGGAGTTAACTACCCCCTTAAGAAATAATTCTATTCTAGGCGTTACTTCTCGACTTTGGCGAAATATGTCACGGTACTTGTTTTATATGTGAAGTAAAAATGTTTGAAAATGGTTATAAGGGCTGGAAGTTAGGGGAAGAGGTTAATATAAGACTTCTTGATAAATAAGTTATTTTATTTATTTATACGTAGAAAACCAGCTACCAAACGAAATGATTGAATAAACCAAAACAATTTTAACGCGTAAAAACTTTAGCAAAATTTTCGTTAAAGAGGCAAAGCATCAACTCCAAATATAAGTAGACCTTTGAAACACCTACAATTGGAATCAGAGCGGTTTTAACTTGGAGTTCCACTCGGGAAGAACATTAAGGTCCACTTTTACCACCTCTTGATAAATTTATCCGATTGATAAATTGGCGCTCTTAGGCTCGTTACTACCATCTTCTGGTTAAGCTATCTAAGGGATTATTACCACGGTTACGGCTATTTTAAGCGCTCTGATTGGCTAGTAGATGGGTTTATCTATAAGATAAATTTAACTAAAAGATGGTAGTAATGAACCTAAGGCTCGTTACTACCATCTTCTGGTTAAGCTATCTAAGGGATTATTACNCGGGTAAAAACTTTAGCAAAAATTTCGTTAAAGAGGCAAAGCATCAACTCCAAATATAAGTAGACCTGGAAACACCTACAATTGGAATCAGAGCGGTTTTAACTTGGAGTTCCACTCGGGAAGAACATTAACAGATTTCTGCGTTATACCGTTTAATGGGTGGTTCAGTCGGCGTCATCCACAACGCATAGTTGTACTATTCAACCCATAATATCTGTTAATGGAAAACTTCTTTCTCCACGTTTCATTGTTTTAAAAGATATCTCTGACACCTTTGGACCGAGGGTAGCAAATACAATGTTTAAAACCGATAATATTTACGTTTTGACATCCAAATCTGGAAAATTAACATCACCACATAAGAAAAATTGGCTACAAAATGTATATTTTCCAAATACTGGTTATAAATCATTATTATTATTGGATTCTTGTGGTGGCCATTATCCCGAAGTTATGAAGTAAGAGACAACGGGTCAATTACAGCCCCTAGATGTATTTGGTTTCAGGATATGGAAATATTTTATTAGAAGATTATCTGACCAAGTTATTCTTTACCAGTATGATGTCAATTTACATCAGAGGGATAATATATTAAAATTGCAGTCCCTAACGTATAACCATTTGTCTTTACCTTTGTTTATAAATGTTTTTAAATACGCTTGGTTTGCAAGTGGATATCCAGATGAGAAACCAGATCATTTTGAAAATCCCGTGGAAGTTTGCTTTTCGAGTGCGAAGCCAACATGTGATATCTGTGGGGATGCATGGTGTCAAAAATCATTGTTTAAAAATTTTTTTCCACCACTATCATTTTTGTCAACAGTAGGTATGTAAAATAAAAATAAACATGTCAACGATAGGCAGTACTCCACTAGTCCTGGAACATACTTGGGCAAACCCTGCGGGATGAGTTTCTGGCGAACACCATCCACGGCATCTTTGACTGGTACTCTGATGAATAAAGATTCCACGTCGAAACGTACCAGCATATCCCGAGGGTCTAGCTTCATACTCCTAATTGATTCTACAAAATGTGTGGAATCTCTGACATATGACTCTGTTTTACCTGTGAAAGGAGACAGAATTTTGGAAAGGTGTTTTGCTAGCTGATAGGTTTGAGAATTTATGGCACTGACAATAGGGCTGGTTTATGGATTTTGAGTAATCCATATATCCTTGGTGGTACTGGAGCCTGTACGAATAAGCTTTCCTGTTGATCTGCTGGGATTTCTGTGGTTTTTACCAGTTCTTTCATCTTCCTTACTATCTTCTCGATTGGGTCCTTTTTTATTTTCTTATAGGTGGCTGGGTCCAAAAGACTCTTGATTTTGTCGTCGTATTCCTTTCTGTCCATAACCACAGTCGCATTCCCCTTGTCCGTTGGTAGGATGATAATGTCCGGTTTTTCCCTTATCGTTCGTAGTGCTCTTCTTTCGTTCATTGTTAAGTTTGATTTTGGTGGCGTTGCTGTTTTAAGCACTCTCGCTATGTCTTGACGAACTTCTTCTGCTTTCACTGCAGGTATTCTGCGAATAACCGCTTCCACTTCACATATAATTTCTTCTTTGGGAAACTTCTTTGGAGCGACTGCATAATTTAAGCCTTTGACGAGTACTTTAGTTTCCTCCTCTGTTAATGGGACGCTTGATCGTTTGATAACGACTGTTTCAATTGGAAAATCGTTGTTTTTCCTCTTGTGGGTGCGGCGGTTCAACGATTCGAATTTCTTAATTTTTTCTACCACTATCATTTTTGATAGGTAATAACAACAATAGGTATGTAAAATAAAAATAAATTTAAACATTCAACGTAATAAACGTTAATTAGTAGTTCATTTATTGTCATTTGTTAGTTGGTTCTCAACTCATAAATAAATAAAATAACTTATTTATCTAAAATTTTATATTTACCTCCTCCCCTAATTTCCAGCCCTTATAACCTTTTCACACATTTTTACTTCACTTTCTTCTTGAACTTCTTCTTCTTCTCTTTACTTTCTTCTTGAATAGAATTAATTTTTAAGGGGGTAGTTAACCCCCAGTACCCTTAAATGTCGTATATTCCATTTGTCGTTATTACTTTACACTAAAAATTTTACTGCGCGACTAATTTACGGTTTGAAAAAATAAGGGTGGTTCACTCCTTTTCACCCTGTCGTATATGTATGATACATAAAATGAAAGCTTATTAAAAATGAACACTAGTTTTAATATACCAAATTTTGATAGCACTTTTCATTTTCGAAATATAGGCAAAAATGTACAAACTTTCAACCCCTAAAACTCGGCTCAGGGGCTTTTACCGCACGTATAAAAAAATACGCAAACTTTATTTTAGTCCATTCTATTCTATGGCTGTACCAAATTTTATCAAAATCGGTGTGCCACAGTGGTGTTAATTCTCTTGTTAGAGCAAGTGTAAAGTAGCAATATCGTTATGAATACAATTTACTACAACTTTTATATTAAAACTTTTTTTCTAAAACATTCTGAACCTCATGCTCTACCAACAACATAATGTAAAACCACGATTTTATCACGTATAGATCTTGATAATCGTTTACGAGTTGTGATTACTTAAGAAAGCTCATTTTTGTGTTATTTTCGTGTACCTTCGCAATATTTTTCGTTTAAGCGGAATTCAAAAGAGATTTCGGATCGGCCATTTCCACTTTCGTATTTTTCCAGGATTAAGCTTTAAAACAAGATACTCTTCGTCAAAATCGGTTGAGAGGTTGTCTTGTTATAACCAAAATAGTATACATGTAAAATTCTATCTAACTGGGGGCTACCTTCGTATAGGTTTTTAATGTATAAAATGTGGTATAATCTAGAATGACCGATTTCTTCCATTAAATTGATGTGACTATAACACGGAAGAAATGGAAAATGAATTCATTCTTTGAAATTTATGTTATGAACCTAGAACCTTGCGTACGCATGAAAAAAAGAAATTCTATTTATATATAGTTTTACCAGAACACGGTGTTTGTTTATTTTTAAAACTAACAGTGCAAACAAAATGAGGCAAATTTAAACTGTTATATAGAGGGTTATTGGGATAAATTATCCTTTGATCAATGACTTAAAACACCTTATATCTAGAAGCTATGAAACAAAGAAACGATCGCATATTATTAGTATTCGAAAGTTACTCTCCTAAAGTAAGGTATGCCCGAATATAAAACTTCCCCAGATTGACAAACGTTGTTAATAGGTGGAAATGCGGTGATTTTAAATTAAAACCATTGTTCATTTACCATTGTGAAAACTCAAGCGAATTTAAAAGCATTTCCCAGTTATCTTTGCCAATAATTTGGAAGACAACCGAAAAGCTTGGATGACTAAGTCTATGTTTGAAGACTGGTATAAAAATTATTTGTGCCAGAAGTAAAAAGCTATAGCTCGAAAAATAACTTGACCTTTAAAGTAATATTACTATAATGGTGAAAGTGCTGTGTCCTAATATAAAAATAATCTTTTTGCCATCAAACACGAGACCACTAATCCAACTAATGATCAAACTTAATGGCTGTGATTGCTACATTTAAGAAACGCTATTTACATAAAAGTATAGAAAGCATGGCAAAAATCATTGATGAACATAAAGACTTGGAGTGAAATTAAAGAATCGACTATGAAGAATGCGTGGAATAACTTGTGTCAATTACAAAACCCACTTGATGATAGTGATTCTTATGTTGGAAAAAGCGTTCAAGACAATAGAACGTTGAAATTGGGAGCGTTAAGTAAAATATTAAATAAAATGAAGACACATGGAACAAAGTTCTAATGCTATTGCCAGTCTGCCTAATACCCTAGCCTGTTACAAAACTTTATATCAAGAAAAAAGCAATCTAGCCTTGTTCAGGTAACAATGCATTCATTTCTACCAAAAGACGTTTCTAAAAATAATTAAATACCACTCACTATCATTTTATAAATTTTTTATTTACATATTAAAATAAAGTATGATATGTTAAGGTTTTTATATTTTTAATTTTACTTGAACTTGCTTATCTTTCATTACAATCAATAATTTACATACTAAACTGCGATCTCTTCCGGTTCTGGTAGTATACGTTAATGCGGATGGCCTAATGTACCGCATTAGGCGAACAAAAGATTTCAAAATATCTTGTACATATCTGCTTACGTACTTACGTTAGGCGGATGTACGTTAGGCGGATGTACATTAGGCGGATGTACGTTAAGCGAGCTCTGACTGCATTAAGAAAGCCGAATAAGGTAGTATCATTTCTTTCAACCATATAGACTAAATGTAAATAACTCAGCTGAAGATGGTTACACAGAAGAGTCATCAAAAACACGTTGTAGGATGCATAAACTCCTTAGTGAAGAGTAATTGACACTGGAATATTTTTATGTCCCATCAAAACTCATATTTTATATTTAAATACAATAAACTTTCAATAAATATTGGCAGTAATTTACAATTTACATGGTATTTCCAGGAAAATTGTGTGTTCATAAAGACGTCATCATATGAAAAAATGTTAGTTTTTGCAAAAATTTTATTATTGTTATATAATTATTATGACTGTTTAAATTGCTTCCATCCATCATACTTAAACAACAACAAAAATATTTTACACATATTTAAACTATTCATACACAAATAGTTGCTATCATGGTTGCAATCTTTAAATAAGTGTGCGTTGTTACGCTCTTATGTTCTTAATTTCTAGTTACTAGATACTATTGGTGTGATTTGCGTAGATTCATATGAATTTATGTGATGATCTTGATATAATACGATCGATGAGATTCAGCTAAATATCTTTGAGAATGGAAATTGAAACTTCTTACTTGCTTTTTAAAATTTATCGAATTTATCGACTCAGTCGTTTCTNTTAGGCGGATGTACGTTAAGCGAGCTCTGACTGCATTAAGAAAGCCGAATAAGGTAGTATCATTTCTTTCAACCATATAGACTAAATGTAAATAACTCAGCTGAAGATGGTTACACAGAAGAGTCATCAAAAACACGTTGTAGGATGCATAAACTCCTTAGTGAAGAGTAATTGACACTGGAATATTTTTATGTCCCATCAAAACTCATATTTTATATTTAAATACAATAAACTTTCAATAAATATTGGCAGTAATTTACAATTTACATGGTATTTCCAGGAAAATTGTGTGTTCATAAAGACGTCATCATATGAAAAAATGTTAGTTTTTGCAAAAATTTTATTATTGTTATATAATTATTATGACTGTTTAAATTGCTTCCATCCATCATACTTAAACAACAACAAAAATATTTTACACATATTTAAACTATTCATACACAAATAGTTGCTATCATGGTTGCAATCTTTAAATAAGTGTGCGTTGTTACGCTCTTATGTTCTTAATTTCTAGTTACTAGATACTATTGGTGTGATTTGCGTAGATTCATATGAATTTATGTGATGATCTTGATATAATACGATCGATGAGATTCAGCTAAATATCTTTGAGAATGGAAATTGAAACTTCTTACTTGCTTTTTAAAATTTATCGAATTTATCGACTCAGTCGTTTCTTCATAAGGATCAAGTGCCAGAACTAATAACATCGATAACAAACATTTTTAACGTGTTCGTGATTCGTTTATATGCAGAAATGTTATTTATAATTTAAGATATATGTGTACATCTGTCGTTTTTTAAAATTTTTTTAAAAAGTTTTAATGATTGATTTGTATGTAACAACAAAATTTCCAAGATAGTTTTATTAACACTTCGGCTGATGATGGGAACTGAGTTTTTCCCGAAACTGGTACCGTTAAAATAAATTTTAAAAAGCAAGTAAGAAGTTTCAATTTCCATTCTCAAAATTTGTAAACTTGCAACATGGATTTTCAAACTAATAAATATCTTTGACTTTTATTTTTACATACATTCGGAAAAAAATGTCGAGGAAGATGATGAAATGGGCGTTGAAGACGAGGAATTGTCAGCGATCGAAGACGTATTATAATCAGGCAACCACTGCTCATTCTTCATTCTTGCGACGATGATCCGCCCAGTTTCACGTGAGCTTTGCCACAATGTTGACCATATCATTTACGCCAGTTCCTCTTCGTAGGTTTCCATTTAGTGTGTAGTCCCTCAGGGTTACATCCAGCATCGACCTCTCTAGCTGTCTTTGCGTTACTTTGAGCCTCCTGGTAATGGCCACCGTTAATGTTAAAGTTTCGGAACCGTATATCATAACCAAAGGAGGAAGCACGCATTGATTGAAAGCCTTTCTTTTCAAATATACAGAAATATCGCTCATGAACCTCGTAACCATCGAACTATACCATTCTCGATACACGAACCTCATTGCCAAGATATACATAACTGTCAACTCTCTCAGTCTAGTTATCCCCAATGTTGATGTTAGAGCTGAGAACAAGATTTGTCATAAATTTTGATTTCTCCACGTTGATCTTTTGCACACCTCCTGTAACGACTTACATCTCTCCAAGCATCAGTTTCATCTCTCCAAGGCTATCCGAAATAAGGACTATATCGTTCGCGTAGCGCAAATTACTTAGGTATTGCCATCAATTTGGGTTCAACATTGTATCGCCTTGTCTTACCCCACGCCCAATGGGTATTCGGTCAGTACTTACATGCAATTTTACCGTCATTGTAGCATTCTTGTAAATGTTATAAATAGGTTTGGTGTATCGATAATCGACTCTGCATTCTTAAAGTATTTGCAAAACTGCCATCAACTCAATTTAAATCAAATT